AACAGTCTAAAACTTAACAGTAGCATGTTCTTTGAACAATTTCAATCAATATTCAGTAATGGTATAAAAAGTCAATGGTATGAAATGAAAGATATTATTGAATTATTTACATGGATCAGATTGCAAGATCAACTATTCAGTCAATATTTTTCTCACTATTCCTCCAATGTGAACACAGATGATCTCTGGGATATGTTTCTAAAGTTAGGTAAACTTAATATTATCAATAGTGTTAATCAAAAACATGTAATATCAATATTAACTGAAAAAATTCCATTAACTTCTGTCGGACCATTTCATCGATATACGAAATCAGCCAAGACTTGTTTAGTAGAAATAAAACCTGAATTTTGTTCACAGTTTATCGAATTATTCAAGAAAATCTTTGATGGTTATATTATTAAGCAATTCAATTATCCACAATATTCATATCAGGTCTCTCGAACAGATTGCAATGATCTTTTACAAATCGGTTTGGAAATGTCTTCAACTAATCGTTTAGAAAGACCGACGCACAAAAACCCAAAACTCTATTTGGAAACTTGAAAGATTTTGATGAGAAATTATGTCAAAAATATGCAGCAGAGAAAATCATTGATAATGAATGGTTAAAAGATTTTCTTATCACTAATCCTCAGATTTGGTTAAAATTGGATCAAGAAACTGATAGATATTTATGTGCAAATCATCAGAATAATCCTTGGACAATCTACATTTGGTCACGAATTGTACATTTAAGTCTTTTAAAAATGCTAAATAATAATCATGCAGATATTCTATCTAAAATTAATGATTGAATGAGAAAAGTAAAATGTGATATTTTCATAATTCTATTAGTTAATAAATTATGTCAACTCGTTCTTACAAAATATTCCAGACAAATTATAACGTTATCAAATATTGACATAATTATGAATTTCTTCATATGTATGCGTGAAAACAAATCTGGAAGAATAGATGTTCAACAAATTAATAATTTTATTAGCAATATCCTAGGAACTGTTTATGAAATTCTCTATTTAAAGAGTAAGTTCATGTCAATATTGAAATATTCCTAATCGGTTGTTTATTCATATTTTATTTTTAACTTAAATTTTCTGCTGTCTTATTAATCATAGATAACAATAGATTTGTCCTATGTTTCACCTATATGCGATTCTTCGTATTACTTCACTATCACTAAGAGGCAGATACTTGGTGAGAACTGATATCTTTAGGCGATTCTTAATTTAGAATCGAAAACCGGGCTGGCACAGAATTCAATTTTCGACAAAATCGTTTATTTATTTTTTTTATTTTCATCACTGAACACAACCTAATATAGTCTTCAACTTACTGTACCGTTAATGAGATCCCTTCGAGCACACTAAGTGTCTTAAAATTGGTTAACAAAAAATAGTAGTCAAACAGCGTTACATTTATTTTATTTAGATTTTACCAGTGACAGAATCGATTGTTGAGATACTTGAAAGAATCTTGTTATTAAATTAATTTTTATTTCTAGGTAAATGTTCATTATATCGTGATTTGTTGACTGGTTCAATCATTCGTTGTTTCCTTCGATTAATCGATTTACAGAAGATTTTTAGTTCAGTTGATCCTCAACAATATAGATTTCCATTGATAAACGCAAATATCGATGTTGTTGTTGCTTTATCTAAACCTAAAGATATCGATATTATAAATATCGAATCTAACGAAGAATTCTTTGCTCAATGTATTAATATATTTCAATATATTTATTGATTGGTTAAAAAATCATAATGTTAATCATTCGAATCAATTACTAATTGATTTATTAAATATTCGTTATGATTTGAAAATGACTTTTATTGAGATGAAAATAATTATTGAACATATTTTAAAAATTTTAGAACCATTCAAAGATCTTCGACGTCTTTGTCATCTATTTAATTGTTTAATTTCATTTCAAATTCTGAATTCAGGAACATTAAATACTCAAGATAATACAATAAAATATCTTAC